GTGCATGTGTGTGTGTGTGTGTGTGTGTGTGTGTGTGTGTGTGTGTGTGTGTGTATGTGTGTGCGCGCGCGCACGTGTGTGCGTGTGGGTGGGTGTACATGCACGTGGTGTTGATTCATTCACATCACTTCACTCCCGTACACACGCGCATGCGCACCTCCCCCCCCCCCACCCCCCACCACACACACACGCACGCACGCACACACGCACACACGAGCACGCGCGCTTTCTCTGTGTCTCTCACACACGCTTGCACACTCACGCACGCACTCGTCTGCCCCCCCCCCTCATTCCTAGCGCCAGGAGCTGCGATCGGGCCTTGTTGGATTCCTGATGACCACACAAAACATCCGAGATGATCGCCGCTGCATTAACGAGTGCTACAGCCTTCTTAACAAGGCATGTCCTGCGTGCAACATGGCCTGTGTGCTTCCTCATCTTGTGTACAGTGCACAGTATGCTGTTCACTTGCCTCGTGTTACATCTATTTTGTGCTGCCTGCCATGCGGCGTGTAGTGCGCTGCTGCCTTTCGTGCAATCACAGCCGCAACGTGCGTCTCACGTCATGCCCAAGATCGCCCCTGCTGCCCATGCATCCAACAGGCTGAGGAAGAGCTGAGACAAGACAACGACGATGGCCACGAGACCAAGGACGCTGCATCCACTGCAGGCCAGTCCATCGAGGACTTGCTGCAGCAGGTATGTTGCGAGAAGACGCGCTCAACGCATCCGCAACAAGCACCCGACTGGCAGTGTTTCTCTATTTCTCCTGTGAACCACCCATGCTGGACACCCAATCACTTTTCCAGCTAACGCTCACACGCGTGCTTGCCCACACGTGCCACAAACACGCTCCTTTCGGGTAGGAGATCGACGAGCTCTCAAAACCAGATGCCATGAGCCGTGCTTCCAGCTTTAACGAAGCAGATGTCGGCTGCAAGGTGCACGCCTGCGTTTGTGTGTGTGTGTGTGTGTGTGCACGTGTGTGTGTGTGTGTGTGTGTGCACGTGTGTGTGTGTGTGCACGTGTGTGTGTGTGTGTGTGCGTGTGCGTGTGCGTTGTGGTGGTACTCGTGTATCCTCTGGGTGTGCCGGACCCGTGCACACTTTCACTTCAAAGTTCTGTGCTCACTTTTATGCGCACGTGGATGGTTGCTCTTCACAGGGGATGATGTTTATCGTATCTGATTCGCCAGTCGAGTGCCGAGCGCTCAGTGATGCCATTTACAACAAGGCCATCGCCACCTCAGGTGGCATTTGCAGGTGTGTGTGTGTGTCTGTGTCTGTGTGTGTCTGCGTGTGTTGTTGTTGTTGTTGTTGTTGTTGTTGTTGTTGTTGTTGTGTTGTTGTAGTGTGTGTTGTGGTAGTGGTGGTGGTGGTGGTTGCGCTGTTTGTGTTTTTGTGTGTTTGTTTGTGTGTGTGTGTGTGTGTGTGTGTGTGTGTGTGTGTGTGTGTCTGTGTGTGACATGCGTGTTTGCTTCCCTAACTCGACATTACCCCGCTTGCTGCCCTTGCTGCATCGCGTGATTGTTGCCTTCTTGACATGTGCCCCATGATATTCACGCACCCGCACACGTGCGCGAGTGTGTTCAGGTTCATTCAACGATTCCTCCCCGTGCAAATCACGTGTCGCGCAGCGCCTGACGTAAGCTACGAACAGTTGAGCTGAGCTTAACCACTTACTTCCCCGTCCCGCTTCCACACGTGCGCACGCTTGTGTCTCTCACACAAATACATGTGTCTTTCCCTCCGCTCTCGACCACCTGCTCGCTTGTTCGTGTGCACTGCCAGGTGATTGCCAAAACGGTGCGACAGCTGCTTGAGCACTCTCCGCTGAGCGCATCGTCTCCCCAAACAACGGTATGTTCGAATCAGTGAACCTGACGCGGTCACAGCTGTCTGTCTCTATTGTCGCTCGCCATCGATTTGCATGCGCTACTGCAAGCTCCAACACGTTTTCACGCACGAGCGCGCTCCTGGCGTGTGGCAACGGTCACAAACTCAAACATAACACCTTCACATGCATACACGCACATTTACACACACACACACACACACACACACACTTACACACACACACACACTCGCTCGCTCGCCCATTTGTGCACTGGTGTAGTTCAAGGTGCACTTCAAATCAAGGTACAACAGTACCCTCAAACGCGACACTGCCATCTCGGAAATTGGACAGATGCTGCTCGACACAGCACCACAACACAAAGCAGGTAATCCAAACACACACACACACAACGGCATGCGCATACACTCACATACACTCGCATACATCACACACACACGTGTTGGCGGCCCCGTCCTGTCACAAATCAAGGCTGTTTTCGCGCCCAAATACCCCCTCCCTTCACTCACACACGGACACACGCGCACTTGCTCCGATAGACATGAAGAACCCGGCAGTGGTGATATCTTTGGAAGTGATTAAGGTGCGAGTCGCTGCGCTTGTCGGTGCATCTGTTGCTGCTGCATCTGCTGCTGCTGCGTTGTACCATCTTGCATTTCCCTTGACTGCCTGTTAGCTCGTGCTCACTTGCTTTGCCTTGTGGTTGCCTCGATCTCCAAAAGTACACGCGTACTCACACACACAAACACACGCACACACACCACACACTCACACAACACACACACACAACACCCCCCCCCCACACACACACACACAACACACACACACACACACACACACACACACACACACACACACACACAAACACGCAACGCCACCACAGAACGTGTGCTGTGTGAGCGTGCTGGAGAACTTTATGGCACGATCGCGGTACAACTTGAGCGAAACAAGCCGCAAAGCGGAGGACAAGCGCCACGCTGCTGAAGACCAACCCCCAGCGAATCTGCCAAGCAAAGAGAAGGGTGAGCAAGCAGGCGTTCCTGACGATGACACGGACAACACCGGCGACAACGCTGGCGGCAAAAGGATATCACCGACAACGACAGCCGCTTAGGCCCAACACCAAGCCTATCGCCTGTGCTCTTGTCCGTGTAGGGGTGTGGGAGTGTGGGAGTGGGTGGGCTTGTGCATTTGTACTTGACATACACAATACACCTGCTGATTGGACACGACAATGACATGTGAACCCCAGTCCAAACGCCACAAATGCACTCATCACACCGCTGCGCACATCACACACACACATCACACACACACACACACACATCACACACACATCACACACACACACACACACACATCACACACACACACACACACACACACACACACACACATCACATCATACTGCCTGAGTCAGCAGTTTTTCGGTTCGAAAGATTTGTTGGAAAAATTCTACACGCCCCGCCCCTTCAACCCCTCTGTCTGCTTTGTTTTGGTGAGAATAAAGTGCGGTATTTTCCCACTCACTTTTGCACTCACCTCGCTGCGTGTTTGCATTCACACGTCGACACAACAACCACAACAAAAGGTTTGTGCACTGCGTTGTGTGTGAGAGAGAGAGAGAAAGAGAGAGGTAAGGACGAGGGGTGAAGGTGGTGAAGGAAGGTGGGGGAACAACAACAAACCAACACATACACAACCCCGCCCTCTTCCACAAACCAGTCTCATCGTCGCGTCCGACACAACACAACACCCAAACCACAGCAAAGCGCCTTGCTTCTTCTCGTCCTCTCGAGACACGCAGACCCCCACAACAACAACAAGCAGGTGAGAAGGATTGCCGCCATCGAGTGAAAGGGATGGCCTCAGTAACCATGTGGTCGATGATGTTGTTTGGTTGTTTGGTTGTTGTTGGTGTTGTTGTTGTTGTTGTCGTCGTCGTCGTCGTCAAAGTGTGCGCCCTTCCAGCCTGATGTGAGCTGAGATGGTGCTTCCTCGTGCACACAAACACATGCACACCCAACCCAACTGTTTAGTTGACTCGAGCTGCCAACTTGATGTTTCAGCTTTTCTCTGTCTTTCTCTCTTTCTTTGGTCGGTGATGGCTTTGTCCTAGTGACATGCCACTGCCGCCGTGCCACCTTCGCCTTCTGTAATTGTATGAACTCTGTCGACATTCCTTTTTGCCTCTGTGCGTGTGTGCGTGTGTTTCCCTTCCCATTCCCACAAACAAAGCATCTCCCACACCCAACAACCCTCCTCCCCTCCCAACTGCACAATTACCCCACGCTCGCCTCATTTTCCCATCATCAACACAGTGTCATCCATCCACTGCTTTGGACATTGCACAGCCTCATCTCGCTCAACCACACACATTATAACCACTACGCCACGACCACTGCACGACACACACACACACACACACCTTGTTCACGCACCCACCCATCCATTTCCGCAGAAATGGCTCTTCCCGTCCACCCTGGTGACAGCCTCCCTTGGGCTCTTGGCTTCCGTGATGTCAACGGCAAGTACTTGACCGTGGAGAACTTTGGCCACCGCCTCAACATCAACGGCGGCTCCATGAAGACCAAGCAGATCTTCCAGATTGAGCAGGACGAGGGCGCCGGCTCCAAGGTGTTCATCCGCACCCCGCACGGCCGCTACCTCACCGCCAAGCCCGACGGCACCTGGGCTGCGGATGCCGAGACCCGCGGCACCAACGAGGAGTTTGAGATTGAGGTGCAGCCCGATGGCCGCTGGGCCCTCAAGAGCGCCCATGGCTACTACTGCGGCGGCGCTGGCGAGAAGATCGACGCCTTCACCAAGGAGGTTGCCGAGGACCGCCTCTTCATCGTCAACCTGGCCATGCACCCCCAGGTCTGCATCTGGAACGTCAACCGCAAGACCTACCTCCACCTCGAGGGCGAGGTCATCAACGCTGATGAGCCCATCCCATGGGGCGCCGACGCCACCATCACCCTCACCTTCTTTGACAGCACGGGCAAGTACGGTCTCCAGGCCTGCGACGGCCGCTTCCTCAAGAGCGACGGCACCCTCACCACCGTCGACACCGACCCCACCATCCAGTACACCCTCGACATGTTCGGCGGACAGATGGCCTTCCGCGCCTCCAACAACATGTACCTCACCTGCCTCGGCGGCAAGGGCACCTGCCGCGCCACCAAGCAGGGCCCTCCCGGCAAGGACGAGCTCTTCGTCCTCGAGGACTCCCACCCCCAGATCAAGATGACCTCCTGGCAGGGCAAGAAGGTCTCCGTCCGCTCCAGCGTCGAGGCCACCGCCAACCAGACCGACACCACAGATGCCGAGCGCTTCCAGATTGAGATTGACGACAGCGGCAAGTGGAACATCCGCACCAACAAGAACACCTTCTGGTACACCTCCGAGGACGGCACCATCATGACCGACGGCGCCAGCAAGAACGCTGCCAACTCCAAGTTCACCATCGAGTGGCTCAACGACAGCATCGCCCTCAAGGCCAGCAGCGGCAAGTTTGTCTCCGTCAAGAAGAACGGCGGCCTCGTCGCCAAGGACGCCGACATCGCCGCCGAGTCCACCTTCGTGTACGAGCTCATCAACCGGCCCCTCCTCGTCCTCCGCGGCCAGCACGGCTTCATCGCCACCACGGACAAGTCCAAGCAGCTCATGTCCACCAGCGCCAAGGCCTTCACCTACAACATGCACGTCAAGGCCGGTGTGTGCCACATCAGCGACCCCACCAAGGACTTCTGGAACGTCGCCTCCGACGCCTCCGCCGTCACCGTCGATGGCAAGCAGCCCACCAAGTTCTTCCTCGAGTTTGTTGGCCTCTCCAAGATCGCCCTCAAGCACATGTCCGAGGATGGCTCCAGCGCCTACCTGCGCTCCCACCAGAACGGCTCCGTCACTGTCGATGGCGACAAGGTCGATGCCTCCACCACCTTTGAGTTCTGAGTGCGCTAGCTTGCGCCGTCGGTGTCGGCTCATCCCTTGAGACCCTGCCTGTCCTGACTCCCCTCCGCCCAAGCTTCATGCCACCAGTTTCCATTTCGAATTTCCCTCTTTGACCGACGTATCCGTGGCTGCAGAGGCCGTGCGCTTATTGTATGTATGACCGTCTGTTGCCGCTGTCGGTTCACCTCGTTTTTGCTTTTCTCTTTCCCATCCTCGTCCAAGCACCTTTCCTTTGCTCCTCTTTGCTTCGTGTATCATGGGCCCTTCCACTTCCTCTTCCTCTTCTTCCGCGCGTGGTCGTCTGCCGTCGCTGGCTTATCACGTTTGCACATGTTCGTGTGTATGCGCGCGTACCTGTGCGTTTCTGCGTGTGTGCGTGTTTGTGTTCGTAACACCGTTATGAGTATGCTGTTGCTTGGTTGTCTCGTTTCAAATTGTGTCCCAAGCATGACGCTGGGCTAACAAGAGGTGTGTGTCCGAGCAAACAAACCCCAGCTTGTCAACAAAACCCCAAATACACCAGGGCAACCCTCCCTGTTTGGCCAGAACAGATCGTTCAGTGTGCTCACGTGTTCAAGTGGTGCGATGTTCCGTTTATCGCGTCATCACGGCCAACAAAACGAAAAAAGACACAGGAACAAACAAACAAGGGGGCGGGGGAGTGCGTGTGTGCAATGCAAACACACAAGCAAATGATGGCGTGGCACAAGCACAATCACTTGTAGAAGGTGTGTTCGTCATCGTCCTTGTTGATAACCGTCTTGTATGCTGCATGGTGAGTGTGTGTGTGTGAGTGTGTGAGTGAGTGTGAGTGAGTGAGTGAGTGAGTGAGTGAGTGTGTGTGAGTGAGTGAGTGAGTGAGTGAGTGAGTGAGTGAGTGAGTGAGTGAGTGAGTGAGTGAGTGAGTGAGTGAGTGTGTGTGTGTGTGAGTGAGTGTCTGTGTGTGAGAGTGTCTGTGTGTGTTAGTGTGTGTTAGTGTATGGAAGCATGTATGCAGTTGTGCGTGCACGCGAGAGCACACCCACATCGCATATGCGCGGCCTACCCTCTTCAAAGTCCTTCGCGAGGATCACGTAGCGGTTCTTGCGAACAGCAAGCATACCGGCTTCCTGCTCGCACACATGAGATCACGCGTGCAGCATCGGCAATGAGGGGTGTGCGGGTAAAGTTTGGAGGGGGAGGGGAGAGCAAGAACGTAGACACCAACGCAGACACAAACATGGACACCAACGCAGACACAAACATGGACATGAACGCAGACACGAACATGAATACGATGGCAAATCATGCATTATCACACCCCCAACTGTCATCGAATGAAAATTTCGCGACCATTCGACGTCACGCGCGTGCATGAGCTGGGCAAGTGTCGGGCAGTCACGAGAACACGCACGCACCTGGCAGATGGCTGCAATGTCGGCACCGGTGATTTTGTCCGGGCGGGCGACAAAGTCCTCCAGGTCAATTTCATCAGACAGGTTCATCTTGGAGGTGATGGTGGAGAAGATGAGCCGCTTCTGGCGGCGGTCTGGTGTGTTGGGAAAAGGGGGGGGGGGAGAAGGAAGGTGTTCAGGGGCGTGGGAGGGTTAGTGTTGAGGCTTGGGCGTGGGCAGCACCATTTGGAACAGTCAGTCAGTCAGACAGACAGACATACACATGCACATACAAGTGCACGCACGCACCTGGCATGGGGAACTCGATCTTGCGATCAAGACGGCCTGGGCGGAGGAGGGCGGGATCGAGCGTGTCGGCGCGGTTCGTTGCCATAATCACCTGCCATCGTCAACAACAACAACAACAACAACAACAACAACAACAACAACAACAACAACAACAACAACAACAACAACAACAACAACAACAAGAATCGCAATAGCAACAACAGCAGCAGCAGCATCGTCGTCGTTAAGAGGAGCATGTGTGCAAGGTGCAAGAGGAACGTCTTCAAGCACCGTGCCTGACCTTGACGTTGACGGTCTGGTCAAAGCCGTCCATCTGGTTCAGAAGCTCGAGCAGAATGCGCTGCACCTCTCGATCCGCTGCACACGACAAACGCGATGGCGGCAATGGTGGTCGTGAGTTGGAGAGGGCGGGGGGAGGGGTTGCAGTGGTGTGGACGGAAGCAAGCTGGCACACACACACACACACACACACACACACACACACACACACACACACACACACACACACACGCACACACACACACACACACACACACACACACAGGCTTACACACACACACACAGGCTTACACACACACACACACACACACACCTCCTGTCTGGGCATCGAAGCGCTTTGTGGCGATGGCGTCGATTTCGTCGATGAAGATGATGGCGGGGGCGTTTTCCTTGGCCATGCGGAACACGTCGCGAACCATGCGTGGACCCTCACCGAGGTACTTCTGCACAAACTCAGAACCAACCACCCTATCATGCAAGGAGAGACAGCAACGAAGGAAGAAGTTTGTGTGCGTGTGTGTGCGTGCGCGCGCGTGTGTGTCGTGCATGAGCGGAATGAAGCGTACGAGAGGACGGCTACTCGATTCCCCCATACAACACACATACACACATACACACACAACACATACGTGCACAGACACATACACGAGCATGCACGCTCCCTGACCGGATAAACGAGGCGGTGGTGTGGTGTGCCACGGCCTTTGCAAGCATGGTCTTGCCGCAGCCCGGGGGCCCGTACATCAGCACACCGCGGGGCGGCTCAATGCCAATCTGAACATCCACGCGGGAAGAAGCGGTGTGAGGGCATATATTGCGCGTAGGATTGCATGTACAAAAAGTTATTGTCACCAAACACACACACACACACACATACACACACACACACACGCGCGCGCGCGCGCACAGAGACCTGTTGGTAGAGTTGAAACTGGGTGAGGGGCAGCTCGACGGCCTCGCGCATCTCCTGCTTCTGTGTGTCCATCCCGCCAATGTCAGAGTACTGGAATGACATAAAACCACACAGCGACAGCATGGGTGGTGCGGCGAGTCGCAGCAGTAACCAAAAAAGGTGAGCGTGGGGGTGGGGGAGAGGTGAATGGGGCACGCGGGTGTACGTAAGCGCAGGCGACACATAACACAGGAATGAATGTGCCCATTCATGTATTCATGAAACCGCCACATACACACACACACACGCGCGCGCACACACACACGCAGACGCACACACCGTGACGTCGGGCTTCTCGTCTGCGGAGAGCATGGTTATGCTGCTGTCGGCCTCGGGCGGGAGAATGTCAACCAGTGCATTCGATTGCTGGCGCAGTTGCAGGCGACACGGGGCAGATTGGGTGTGTGTGTGTGTGTGTGTGTGTGTGTGTGTGTGTGTGTGTGTGTGTGTGTGTGTGTGTTAAAGGAGAGGCACCAGCTCAGGAGGGGTTCAAAACACAAGTCATAGAGTGCACGAAGGCGTCTACACGAACGCAAAGGAGCACAAGGTACAAACGCGCATGCAAACAAATTAACGAGCCCACAAGCACGCACACACAGACACACACAGACACACGCAGACGCACGCATGCACACACACACCTTGTGGAGGGCGACCGAGGCGCTTGGCTTGAGGAGCTCGTGGTCGAGGGTGCTGAGGATGCGCACGTAGTAGTTTGAGCCCGTCGTGGAGCCGATGATGCCCGTGTGCTCGTCCACGGCCTCGAGGAACTGGCCAATCACAAGCGGCACGCTCTGGATGCGCTTCACCTCCTCCTGCACCGTAAACGGTGGACACGACAGAGTTGGTGAGCGACCTTTCAAGCACCAAAAAGAGCGCTCAACATTATACATTGCCAGCCCATCCCCACCACCGCACAAACAAACAGACGAACCGCACGTTTTTTTTTTAACGCACCTGTGCGTGCAAGTACTCCTTCTTCAAGTTCTTCATCTCATCCTGAGAGCGGGGTTGTGGAGACAAGCAAGAGGTGAGCAGAAGCATGGAACCAATCAACAAAGGTTTCCCATGACAGCGATGGACCATGCATGTACACAAAGGCAAGACAAATGACATGCACGGATTGTGCAGACGCCGAGAACCACGCACACAACACCTTGATGTACTCTTCTTGCACGTTGAAGAACTCCAACTGGCGTTGCAAGTTTTTCAGGCGAACATACAAGTCTTCCGACTTTGTGTCAATCTCCGCCTGCATGAAACACCAGCACCCCCACAAATCAGCGCATCCACCGCGAAACCATACCAATGTTTTTGTTTTCACACCGCTCTCACACACACACACATACACACACCAAATACACACCACACACACACACACACAACACGCAAACGCATACACACGCACACGCACACGCACACACACACAACACGCAAATGCATACAAGTGCGAGCTCCTTCATCCAACAACCACCAGCGCACGCGCACAGTGCCTTACCTCCACGGTCTGAGCTGGAACCTCAGGCACGACAATGCCAATCTCCTCCATGGTGTGTATGTGTGTGTGTCGACGCTTGTTCGTTTGGTTGTTTGTTTGGTTGGTTCGTTGTGTTTGTGCAACTTGTGTGGCTGGTGCTGCTTCTCGAAGCGAATCACAGTCAGTTTTCTTCACTTGGCCTTGATGACAGCTGTTATCGCTCTCCGTGGTGTCAAGCCGTGCCTTCTCACCGTCCTTTGACCCTGCGTCAAGCACTCGCTCCACCTGTCTGCCGCTTGGTGTGCTCTCTGGCCGGCTGTCGCAGCAATCGCAAAGCCGTTTCTTCTGTCTTTTGGTCGTTGTCGTCTGTTTTCTTGCTTGCCACACAAATGCGGTGTAGGGAATTTTCGATCGTGTCTTTCGTTAATTTTCGTGCCTGACAGTTTGGTGGCGTTGCATTCGAGAGCAGCGAAAAACCAAAACAACACACACACCACACACACCACCCCATACACAACAACCGCCGCCGTGTGAGAGTGAACAGGCTCACAGCTTCAGCACAAACACCAGCACCAAGCGAGCAGAGATACAGCGAAGGTGCTCGCCTCTGTCTTCCCTTCTTGTGTCACATCACTCACTTACCCCTCCCCCCTCGTCAAAGAAACCGGGCACGCACACAAAAGTGTCAAGAGTGATCAGTTCATTCCGTGGTTCGAACGAGAGCCAGAACAAGAAACAACGTCAACGGTGAGTTGTTGTGATCCTCCATGTAACTGCCAAGCGTGCCAAGTGGGCCAAGCAAGCCAAGTGGGCCAAGCAAGCCAAGCGAACCAAGCGAGCCAAGAGTGAGATTCGCATTGCACTTCCTCATGAATCAACTCTGCCCTTGGCTCGTGGTGGCTTTGAATGTTGGGCATTGTAGCAGAGACCAAACATCATGACTGACGACTGGAGAGAGCAGCCCGGCGATTGGCTGAATCGACAGGAGTCCAGCTCCGGCAACCTAGTCTCTTCCCGCGCCTCCGTCTTCCTGGTTCGTGCTCAATGTGGCTCGTTCTGCCCTTGACACTTTTATTCATGTTGCTCGAACCCTTTGTGGCCGCACGCTTGTTCTGCACGCTGGTGGAAGGCTTGAGCCTGTGGCTGCAGGGGCTGTGGGGGTGCATGCTCGTTGAGCGTTGGTGTCTTGCTTGGGGGGGGGATTTGTTTGGGGGAGGGAGATGGTTGAGCTTGCGTGGGCTTCATTGTCTGTTTTGAATCGCACAACACCTTGGGCCATCACATGCGCCACATAGCTTAGCTTAGCTTGCCTTGCGTAGAATCTGACCAACGCCAAACATGATTTGCATGCAACCCCTGCCTCTCCCACCTCCTACCGCTTCAACTGCCTCTACTTCTTGCTGCCTCTTCTATCTATCTTTCCCCCTCGACTGTCAACTTTGTGTCACTCTCTTCCTTGTCACCATTTCCATCCTGTTGCCTCTCCACTTGCTGCCTGTTGCCTTTCCTTTCCTTTCGATTCCCTTCCTGCATCCTTCTCCCCCTTCCCCTTCCCCCTTGGATCCACCTCTTCATTTTTTCCATCTCCCTCCTTGCCCCCAACTCCAAACCAACACTGCACTCGGCCACACCATCCCCACACCCCCATGGGATGCTTGTGTGACTGAATCTGCTCTGTTCACATCCATCCATCCATCCATCCATCCATCCATCCATCCATCCATCCATCCATCCGTCCGCGCATCGCATCGCATCCATGCACTTGTGCACGCGCGTGCTCGCTCTCACCATGCCAGCCGTCAATGCAGGGGCAAACACCGTCCCGCAATGACACCCAGGGCTCGTTTTCCCAGCCTGCAAGCACAGCACGTGGCTCCGTCAAACGCGTACGTTGCGCAGCGTCGCTGCCTTGCTTGTAGGCAATCCTGCACACTGTTCTTCTCCTCTTTGTTGCGCGGCGTTTGTGGTAGTGCGTGTGGTCGTGGTTGTGCTCTGGCCTGGGCTGTCGTTGTTGTGCCGTGGACAAACCCTTCACACTTCAGGTTTTAACCCTGTTTCTTGTCCCAACACCCTTTACACATACACACACGCACACACGCACATACAACCAGCTGTCCAAGAGTGCGCTTGATGCTGTTGAGATCTCGGAGCAGATTGTGACGAGCCTCATGTCCCTTCTCGACGCCCTTCAAGGTCCGTTGCACGCAAGTGGACGCGGGAGGAGGGTCTTGGCCCCAGGGGGTGTTACAGCAACCCACCCCTTCATCTCATGCACACACACACACACACACACACACACACACACACACACACACACACACACACACACACACACACACACACACACACACACACACACACACATGCAAGCACACATCTCGTCAGCTCACCTCTGCAACCTTTCACCCCACCCCCGTCACCCTTTTGCTTGCTTTATCGCCGTGCCCACCAGATGTGGCGAGCGGGTCTGAGCTGAAGCCAGGGTCCCAGCGCCGCGCATGTGTCGAGGCGTCGGTCAAGAGCCTTCCGGAACAGCTCAAGTCAGTCGTCGTCCCTGCCCTGTCTTGAGCGTGGCTGTGATGGCTGTTGTGACGTGGGGCGTGGCTGTCGTGACGAGGTTGGAGGTTTAGAGAGGAGGCTGTAGTTGCTGTGCACCGTCGTCGAGTTGGCACGTCCATGGTGACACTGCCTTCAACAACCACCACCTGCTGTTTTGTGGTGTTGCTACCACTCGCAACTCACCCCTGTCATCACCACCACCATCACCATTACCGCTCGCAACTCGCCGCCATGCGTGTGCGGCCATCAACAGCCGGCTGCTTGAGGTGACGTCGCCGTCCAAGTCCGCGCCAACCAGCGCCAGGCGCCTCTCGTGAGTCTTTTCATCTCCTGACTGAAGGAGAAGGAGGGGGTGGCGATTGGGCGTTGGGACTAGAGTCGCAGTGCATGGTTTGCTGATGCGTTGTGGATCACTGTGTGGAGCCTGCCACCACGCGCCGCTCTGCCATGCTGGGCCTTAGGCTTGCCCGCTTGACGCTTCGCCACACATTCCAACACGCTTTCTCTTACCCACCAGTGTACCCACTATCCCACGCCCCACGCTCATTTTCAATTGCCATGATCACTCGCCAACACAACAGCAGCCGGCAGTCGTCACGCAACAGCATTGGTCGCCGCTCCATGCACGAGTCAACCTCCAGCCAGCAGTACCAGCAGGCACCCCTCTACGAGGTACAACTTGTACCCAACACACACAGACACACACATGATGCAACGATCTTGAAGTTGGTCAAGGCGTGTATTCACGTGTGCTGTGATGTATGTGACTGAGTCCATGATGTCATCAAATCCACGCCCCCCTTCCTTCCTTCCTTCCTTCCTTTACGCTGCAGGACATGGACGACACGGAGCGTCGTCTTCGCATGGAGCGCGAGCGGCAGGAGCGCATCAAGCGCCGCGACAACCGCGGCCGCCCGCCACCAAACTTCAACCTGATGATGGCAGAGGCCGAGATGGCCAAGCGCACGGGCCGCCGCACCAGCACCAGCATGCAGGACCAGCAGGAGGCGGAACGCGCCGAGGCGGAGCGGCGTGCGATGGAGCAGCAGCAGGCCGAGGAGGAAGAGTACATGCGCCAGCAGCAGCAGATGCAACAGCAGCAGCAGCAGCAGCAACAACAACAACAGATGCAACAGCAATACGACGTACGTTCAGGGGAAGGGGGTGGTGACGGCATGCTTGTGTCACCTTGAGTGTTTGTAACATGAATGCCTGCGAGCATCCCGGTCTCATGGTATCTGCGGGCAACATCTCACATGTGTTGTGCTTTTGTGTTGCCTGCATGCATTCACGCTGCAGGACATGGACGACACGGAGCGTCGTCTCCGCATGGAGCGCGAGCGGCAGGAGCGCATCAAGCGCCGCGACAACCGCGGCCGCCCGCCACCAAACTTCAACCTGATGATGGCAGAGGCCGAGATGGCCAAGCGCACGGGCCGCCGCACCAGCACCAGCATGCAGGACCAGCAGGAGGCGGAACGCGCCGAGGCGGAGCGGCGTGCGATGGAGCAGCAGCAGGCCGAGGAGGAAGAGTACATGCGCCAGCAGCAGCAGATGCAACAGCAGCAGCAAGACGTACGTGTTTGTTTTGCTTGCTGCTGTTGCTTGTAACGCGATTCAAGTTGCACCCTCTTCAACCTTTACTCAAGAATCGTGCCGCACCCGTCTTCCTACTCTTTGCTCTTGCTCTTACTCTTGCTTGTGCTTATTCTCGCATCGTACAACCACTCTCCTTTCTCGTCTTTCTCGTCTTTCTCGTCTCTCTCTCTCTCTCTCGTCTCCTCACCTTCAACGCCATGGCCCGACTCTTGATCATCATCCCCGCTGTCATCATCGATTCCTCACTATCATCACCACCACTTCGCCACCACCACCTCAGTCGTATGCTGGGCTTGACGAGACGGAGCGCCGCCTTCGCATGGAGGCCGAGCGCCAGGAGCGCATCAAGCAACGCGTCGTGTCGTCGTTCGGCCGTCCGCCGCCAAACTTCCGCGTCCTGTCCAGCCAGAGCAAACAGCAGCAGCAGCAGCAGCAGTCGCCTGCCAGCGGCGGCAGCGGCGGCGGCGGTGACAGCCGGCCCGTGAGCCGCGAGTCGCGCACACCGCGGCTGACGACGGCTGAGCTTGCTGCGCTGTCGTGGCGGGAGCAGCTCAAGTATCGCAAGCGGATGCAGGCTGAGCAGGAGCAGCAGATGGAGCAGGAGGAGGAGCGAGAGCAGGCCCGATTTGAGGGCATGCCCGCTTGGAAGGCCGCACTCCTCAAGGTGCGTCGTGATGATTGCTCTGCTGCCTGCTGCTGGTTGTTGTTGTTGTTGTTGTTGTTGTTGTTGTTGTTGTTGTTGTTGTTGTTGTTGTTGTTGTTGTTGTTGTTGTTGTTGTTGTTGTTGTTGTTGTTGTTGTTGTTGTTGTTGTTGTTGTTTATTGTCACGTGGTCTGGTACATGACTGAGGATGTTGCGTGAATTGATTCTGAATCCTGTCATTGATTCACACGTACACACACACACGCACGCACACACACACACACACACACACACACACACACGCACGCACGCACACACATACACACACACACACATACACACACACACACACACACGCACGCTCCAACCTCCATCCCCCTTCACTGCCCCCCCCCCGGCCGTGCAGGAGCGCCAGCGGAAGAAGTGGGAGGCGGAGGCACCGATGCGAGAGGCACAGCGCCGCGAGCGGGAGCGCCAGGAGTGGTTCAACTCGCTGCCACAATGGAAACAGGACCTCCTCATCAAGAAGCAGATGGCCCAGTGAACACGCCCCCGTCCCTTCCGACTCGCCTCCTGTCACCACCATCCCACATGTGTCCTTCAGGCTCGTGCTTGCTTGCACGCATGCGTGCTTGCATGCAGTCGCAGAATAGCGCTCTCTTGTTCTGCTTTTGCTTCTGTGTGTGCTTGCTGCTTGCTGCGTGGGCCAATGCGAAGTGTGGCTCCCTTCCATTTCATTTCATGCCAATTCAACATACGTTCTTTTTCCCGCAAATCCAGTGGTTTACCTCCTTTGAAGCTGTCGTGATGTGATGTAATGTTCTTGTGTCTCGACGCTTTTGTCTTCTTCCATCATCATCGTCATCATACGTGCACCATCACGACCGTGATTGCCCTTGCGTTCATGCAGTGGCATTTTCTGTTGTTTTCGTCTCGTTCCACACCTGCACACACATGCGTGTCACACGCACATGATTTTACTTGCGCTGTCGTCACACAGACGCACACCTGCCACGCAAGCGCTTGTGCGTTGCTTTTCCTTCTGTGACTTCTGCACCTCGCTTCCCCCACCCCCTCTCCTCAACTTACCAACGTTTATTCCTTGCGTATGCACTCCCTTCACATGATGTGGGTCGTTGATGTGTTAAGTGCGCTGCTGCTTTTGACTCTGAAGTGTTTGTGTCTGTCTGCTTGCTTGCTTTCGTATGTTCTTGTGTGTGTGTGTGTGTGTGTGCGTGTGCTTTTGTGTGTTATCGTCGCGATGTCACAGCTGTGATGCTGCACATTGCACTCGGTTTGCGTTCCGTTCTCTCTTCCAGCCACACAAGGACTTGCGCGAGTAATATTTTTTGTTATCGTGACGACTGCTGTTGTGTGCATGTGTGCCTGTATGTGCCTGTGCGTGTGTGTGACGGCCCACTGTTCTTTGTGGCGGTGCTGTTGTTACATTGCTTGTCTTCGCGTACAACAATGGCCTGTGTTGTGCGTCTATGTGTGTTGTGTGTCACGCTTTCGTATCTTCTCCCCACCCCCATCCCAACAGTCTTCTTTCAACCCGTCCAACCAAGCCCCAATGAACCATATCCTCCTCAAAATGCAAGGCTGTCAATCGAATCACACCATAGCTTAACCCCTCGATTCCCCAGCACAGCAGCCTGCTAACACGCAGTGCACTCTCATGACCACTGCACACCACACATTGTCGCCACCAGAAAGTGTTTCGTTCTCGTTCTCCTTCTTCCCTTGCTTGCAACTGCTATCGTCACCGCCACCATCCATTATGTGAAGTTCTCCACCACTTCTTCTCTTCCCTCTCCCTCCCCAACGTTCACTTCCTTTCCCCACCCCCTCCCTCTCACACACATGCTCACTGCCCTCGCCAGGTGTGGAGCAGCCGGCGCCCAAACGGCCCAGGTACGAGTGCGTCCACATCCGCCACAGTCACGCTGGGCACGCACGCTGCGGCAAGCAGGTTCCACAACGCGTTGCAGTCCTCGACACGAAGGGTGCGGAGCGATGTGTTGATGGAAAGGCGTGATAGCGTGTGGCAGGCGCGCACGTGCAAGTAGTGGAGGTTTGGGAACGGCCCAATATGCCGCACGCCATCCAGCTCCTCCAAGGAGAGCGAGCGGAGGTGTGTGGAGCGCAATCTGCTCACCTCTGCCCCTACGGGAACACGGCACAGGGAGAGGCTGGTGACGTGGGTGAGAGCAGCAACACCGCGCGCGCAGTTGCACTGGTTGACGACGAGCGTGTGCACGCGCTTGAGCGGGCTCAGGTCGTCCACAGCGTGGCACTGCACCAGTGTGACGTTTGATGCGGAGGCTAGGGGAGAGACGTCCCGCACACTCGACTCATGGATGCTGACGGTGGTGACATGTGCGAGCGGGGCGAAGGACGGCAGCACGCGTGTTGACACGGCCTTGATGAACACGGTGTTGAGGTGCGGCAGCAGCGGGAACGGCTCGTGCCCAGACGCCCAGTGCGGGTGCGCGAGTG